ACCTTCTAGGTCTCTATGTATTCTGTCTCACATATTTAATTGTTTACTCAAAAATATTAACAGAGCAGATAAAGGTTACTACAGTAGTATTCATTTTACTACACTATCATGTTAAATATGATTTGACCAAACTGATAGTTCCTTAAAGCCAACAATCAACACCATGCCATTACTTGTGTACAGATGGAACTAATAATATTTGCTCTTTAACCATCCATTAAATATGGACTGTTCATGGGTTTTCTTTTAAGAACAGAATATACTGACTAGAGAATCAGATTTAATATCTTGGAACTTCCAGGCAAATTATCCATTACAGTACACACAAAAAGCACAGAGTGGAGACACTGACATAAACAAAGTTTCACATATTAGAACTTAGAAACCCAGACACTGCACCTCTCTTCAGATCTCAAAACTCCAGTCAAAGGAATAAGCACAGTTTGTTTACTTGGAAGTCACCCTACAGTGCTATGTCTAAATGAGCCTTAAAGAGCTATTTAGGAAGGTGAGATTCTGAGAGTAAAATACACAGACATATAGATGAATCTTTTTCCCTAAATTGGCTGTTTAGTTTGGGCTATCCTATTTCCTGATCAAATTGGTTTCCTGCAATTTGTTAAGTCGGACAAATACTTAGTGATCTTAGTGATGTACTTAAAACAAATCAGCAAATCTTTCTTATTTTTCACAATGACAAGAAATTTACAGAGGAACTTGCACAATGAGAATAATAATAAAGTTCACTTGTCTTTTTTTTTTTTTTTCCAGATTTGTCATTTTCATCAAGTTGCTAGTGGCTTAGGAAATCAACAAATAGCCTCCTAATTCCATTTCCTGGTTTGTTTGTTTTACATGTTGATTTGGGAATAGTTATTTCAGCAGTAGATAGGGTCAAACATGAGTAGTTTGACCTCAGCATAAGCCAAAAAAACTAAAAGATCAGGATGAAAAGGAAAAATGTCAATACTCAACATTGATTTTTAAGTCAAAAGATATGAAATGTTAACAGAAAGGTTCATTTGTCACTATACACAATGGCATCCCCTATGTCAGTCTAAGAAAAAAATTATCTGGTATAAAAGCAAACCATTATAGTTGAGATAATGCAGCAAAGAATTTGAAACAGTGAGGACACAGTTAAGTTCTTTAGAGCATGTTCATTTATTAAAGTGGCATTACAATCTGCTGTGTGTCACATAGTATATTATTTTGCCCAAACAGCTTTACATGCAAATACTTATTGCAACGATTCATTGAGCTAGTTCAAGGCTTAGTAAAAAACAGTTTCAGTAAAATCTTCAGAGGAACTCACTTTCTTAGAGCATAAATTATATTCTCAAAACTATATATGTGACAAAATTTAGTTCCTATATTCAGAAATCCAGGGGTCTCGGTCCATCAAATGCATTGCCCTATATTCACACTGAATAGCCTAGGGCTGGTATGAGTAAGAGTCCTGGGAGGAAAAAAAGCATTTTAATAAATATTAAAAATTCAATTCACATTTAGTACATAATTTACTTGACAATGAAAAGTATAGTAAAGGCTAGTGACATTTTTATCACTATATTTTCTATACTTGAAATTACACGATCACAGTCTAACTGTATTCTTAACCTAAAGGCAAGATCATTGCAAAATAGGATACCAATCTTAGTTCTTTTCTTAAGAAGCTTAGGTTAGAATGGGTAAGGGAAATCATAAATGTACTCAAAGAGCCTGTTCTAAGAGTTTTGTTGAGTCTTTCATATTTTGATACACACAGGAAAAAAAGTACTTGCACAGTACATGAGGTTACACAAGTGATCCAGCTACTCCGAATCTAAGGACCCAGTACCTACAGCATACTCTTGACAGGGTAGGAAGTTGGGCCAAAGACTGAAGTAAAGATACTATACCTCAGGGGAATGGACCCAGAAGTTTTCATTTACTGATGATACTGACGTATTGGGATGTAGAAGTAAAAAATTCAAAAATACACCAACATACAGAACCATTTAGCTCCACAACCTCAATCACTACATCAGTAAACCAACTGATGAAGTTCACAATGCCAAACATTGATGTATTCTAGACTAGAACTGTATAGCAGAGCTTTCTTGAATGGTAAAAATATTCTATACCTACATTGTCCAATATGGTAGTCACTAATCACATGTGATTAATGAGTATGAAATGTGGCCAGTGCAACTGAGCAACTAACATTTTGATTTTATTTCATTTTAATTAATTTTTTCTTTTATCATTTTAAATTAGTTTTTGTATAACTTTTAATAGTACATGTGTCTACTGGCCACAATTTAGAGAGAACAGGTCTAGCCTGATCACCAAGACACAAGATTTTAAAAGCTTCTAGTGCCCAGACTGGTGACAGCTAGGCATGGACCAAACAGCTTATAAGTTATGTCAAATCCAGAAGGGGAAAGGATGGATTTCTCAATAAAGCCAGAGCTTACATGCAATCAGTGGCCTACTCAGCAGAACATACATAGCAAGAGCATGCACAGAAGTCTACTTACCCACACCTATTCTCAAAGTGAAAGTCTAAAAAACCGATCCAAGAAGGAAAACATTTTTTCTCCCTTCACCTCACTACTGAATGAGAGTCAACATGAGGAAAAGCAGAAAGAACCAATAAGCATCTAGAGACAAAAGGTTATTTCCTACGATCAAGCAAAGTTAACATTATATGACAGCTCCTTTCTTCCAACTAGTTTCTGCCACATCTCGTCTACAAATAAATCAAGGTGTCATGCAAATTATAACAAAACAGAATGAACAGCATTGGAAATCACATGGACTTGAATTCAACTGTACCTTTATTGCTTACCAGCTGTATTACTTTGAGCAAAATAATCATTTCAAGTGCCTGCTTCAAATCTCTACATAAAGTGGGTTAGTAACAACGCTTTTCTCAAAGAATTATAATGATAAAATCAGATAAGAGACACATAAAGGTTTTAGCGGAACACAAACTACATAACAAACATTCGTATCACTATTTCTTCATCATAATCCTCATATCCTATCTTTCCTAACACAGTAGGTAGCAAAAAAATCTACCTAGACAATTGTATTTCAGAACAATTTCCAAATTCAAAAATACTCATGTATGAAAATTTATTCTTAACCAAAATACTTGACATATGTAATTTCAATCTCTTCTAGATTTTTTATGCTATGTTTCTGTATTCCTTATAGTATTATTATATATTTAGTTGTATGTGCCCCAAATCTCTCAGCTCTTTGAAAGGATGGGTATTTTTTTTTACTTTTGTGTCCTCTCAAAAAAACTCAAAAAGCTTAATTATTTGCTAAGCAGATATTCAATAACTTTTACTTATATTTATAGAATTATATTCCAGAATGATCAAAAGTAGTTACTTGTAAAATGTATAAGGGTCTTTATTTTAAATGAATTCAATAAACACTTAAAAATCAGGACTCACTGAGAAACAGGTACTAACCTAAAAGCTGGGAGCTCAGCTCTGAGCAAACAGATAAGAGACAAAGGCTCATGAGCTTATCTTCTGGTGAAGATACATACCATCACAATGGTTAAGTAGAGGAAGGGTGGTAGCTGACGATAAATAATGTAACCAGTGTTGAAAAGACAAGAAAAAGGCTAGTCACAGAGCATCTAGGAGGTCAGGGAAAACAGTTCTGAATACACGTTCTGGAGAACCACCAGTAAACATAACATCAACTGATTTACTTTTTTCAAAAAATTGTGAGGGTCTATGTGTGCACAGCACAGCACAAGGGCAAGTTAGGAAGTTTCCACAGCAGGTATGGTAAGAGATGATGGTCATCTGGATCGAACCCAAAAGCATATATTTAAGCACAGTTTACAGATGGTGTTGACAAGATTTAATAGCCTTGTATATGGAGTAAGGAAAAAAGAAAACAAGGGTTAATCTCCAATTCGGGGTTAGACTATCTGTGCCCTTTCCTGGAAAAAAGATGCAGAGGAGAAAAAGTCTGGGGAAGAATAAAATGTTTTATGGAATATTAAGTTGAAGTATGCTTATTTTCTACCTAGTGTCAATAAGCATAAAACTTTCTTAACCCTCCTACTAAATTAGAAGCTTCGAATGCGCAATAATTATTTTCTGTTTGTGTTGGTACTTCTTGCTCTGAACAAATTAGAAGCTCAATTCATGTTTATCAACTCAATAATCAAAAGGGGGTTCACAACTCCCCCAGGTGAATGGCACGTAACCTCATCTCACCTTTCCCAGTTTCACAGTCTGTAGCCAGTTTTACCCTTTCAAAAGAATACAAAAAATTCTGAGTCCAAAACTGATCATCTCAATTACTTTCTTGTTGCCATTTCACAATAAATAACATGTCCATCCATCACTTGAGAAGTAACAAGAATACTGCTGGATACATAGCAGGCACTCAGTAAATAGTTGCTGGATGAACAGATGGGTGGAGCAAGACATAAGATAAAAGAAAACAGTATTAGTTCTCCTATCTCTTCCTTATCCAGCAAGACCTACAAATAAATAAAATAAGGCTTACTAATTATCTACTGATTTCATTTAACACAGTATATTTTTCAATAACTAGGATTGGCTATGATGAACTAAATCTTTTGAAACTTAAAAAGTGTTAGAAAATATATAAATTCATTTGAGATATTTAACAAATTGGAAATAGTAAATCAGTATTTTCTAAGTTCAGCTTTTTTTTGTAAATATTTGTACCTAAATTTCCAATAGTCCTACTAGTAACCCATTGTATACAAAAAGGTATCAAGTAACCTTCCAAAACCTGGTAGAACATTCAGGATTGGGAGGAAAAAAGAAAACTTCTAAAAACTGTTTGAAAGTAGTGACAAAGGTTTTAAAAGAAATCTGAAGCTGATTTCTAACATTCCCTATAAAAGCTGAATATCCAAATAGCAAAAGACAAACAGCTGAACTTGACTACACAGTGAAATTTTTCTACTTACAATTTTTTAAAAACCTCAAAATACAATGTCACAATACCTGAAGCACCATAAATACCAGAATACCGCTGAGCCTTCGAACCAGAAGAAGATTCCTTCATTCGATCGATCACATTCTCCGAAAGCTGCAAAAGAAAGAATAAAATGAAATTAATGATAAAAGAACAAGAAAGAGTGCAATAACATCCAAGTAATTCAGTCATTCGTATCAATATGTATAACCAATGACTTACAGGCTAACTCTAAGAGCTATAAAACTAGAAGCAGTTAGCAACAGTTTTAAAATTTCAAGATGCACCCCACAGCACTATTCCTTTATTTCTTCTAATGCACTGCTAATTGCTATTACAAATAACTCTTCTGTGCACTAAATTGTAATCTCAGAAACAAATGTAAGTCATCAAAATACCTTCAAGTTTTCTCCCCTAATCTTACAAATTTATTTATGCATTAACAGGCCTTAGCTCTTTCCTTTTGATCAGTCACAAAGCAGTTTTCCTTCCTTCTTCCCTCTCTCTTCTTCAAGGCTCTTTCAACAGATTTTATTAGGCTCTATGTCCCAGGAACTTGGCTAGAATTCAAAGTCACCAGGCTGCCTAGAATGAAGTGTAATGAAGTTCTGACAGACAACTGTCAGGCATTTAAATATAATGTGACCGTCTACTTGAGTCTGCCAGCTTGTAATGGAAGTCTACAGAAGCATGATGGGTAGAGCAGCCAGCTGAGATGTGGGCATAAGGTTGGAGCAGAAGGTCAGGGAAGACATACAAGAGTTGGATGAACAGGGATTAAGGAAGAAAATACTCCAAAACAAAGGAATCACATTAAATATCGATCAGAAACAGGGTTAACCACCATTTTATATCCAAATGGAAGAGATCATGTAGGAAGCTGGCAACAGGCCAGGAGTTCTGAGGAACACACTGACCTGAAGATTTGAGTCATCAACCCCACAGTTACTACTCCTTCTTTATTTTCTTGATAGTACTTGCCATTATCTGATGCCTTCTTATTTACTGATTGCTTTTCTTACTACTAGAGAGAAAGGTCCATAAAAGCAAGGACTTGGCTGTCCTATTACCATAGGACATACTGTTACCTATTACCATACTGTTCATCCAAGACTCAGTACACCTGGTTAATAGAATGAACTATTAAATAACAGAATGCAACAACATGAATGGAAGAAAGGGAGGAGGGAACAGATTAAAGAAGGGGCACGGTGACGAGAAGATGTAGAGGGAAGATGAACAGATTTCAAAGACTCTTAGCAAACTCTTAAAGAGTTTGAGCTAGTTCCATGGGGCAATGGACCTACTGGAAGAATTTAAGAAGGATGGTGACATGATCAGATTTACATTTTAGGAAGATCACTTTGGCTGCAGGGAAGAGAACAGACTTGAGAATGGTAAAAACAGAAGAACCGCTAAAGGAGACTAAAGGACCACTTAAGAAGCTTTTAAGCAAATATCCACAAAAAGACTTGCACAGGAATGTTCAAAGCAGCATTACTCATAATAGCAAGAGTAGAAACAAACAAATGTCTATTTACTGGCGAATGGAAAAACAAACATTCTATCTCTGTACAACAGAATACAGTTCAGCAATAAAGAAAAATTAAGCTCTGATATAAGCTACTAGAACCTAAAAATAATTAAGCTAAAAAAAACAAACACAAAAGACCACATACAGTATAATTCCAGTTTGTTTGTCTTGGAGACAGGGTCTTGCTATGTAGCCCAGGCTAGTCTCAAACTCACCATCCTCCTGCCTCTACCTCCCAAGTGCTGGTTACAGGTATGCACTACCAAATCTAGCTATATGATTTTATATATATATATATATATATATATATATATATATGAATGAAATGCCCAGAAAAGTCAATTGTATAAACAGAGAATCAGTCAGTAGTTGCCAAGGGATGGAGTGGGAACAGGAATTAACAGTAAATGGGCACAATAGCTAGTACTGGGATTATGAAAATGTTCTAAAAATGGATTGTAATAATGTATGCAAATCATAGTAAATTTATTTTTTAAAAACTGAACTGTACTCTTAATACAAGCGAATTTTACAACATGTAAATTATTTTACAATGAAATTCCTGGGAGAAAAAAGCTACTATAGTAATCCAGGAAAGAATACAATCAAAAGATATTTAGGGCCAGCACTTGGGAGGCTAAAACAGGAGGATCCTTAGTTCAAGGTCAACCTTGGATTACATAGGGAGAGACTCTCAAAAAATAATAATAATAATAATACGATTCAAAATAGCTAACGTGTAACAAGTATATACTATGTGCCAGGCATAACACTAAGCTAGGCATTTCACTCACTTAATTCTTAACAAGCCTACATGATAGACACTTTTATTATCTCTACTTTATAAGTGAGAAAACTTTTCAGTGAGAAAACTGAAGCATATCCAGATTAAATAGCTTGCTCAAGATCATACAGTTTACCAGTAGTGGGGCCAGGATTTCAACCCAGAAAGACTGAGTCTCAAGGCCAAGTCAAATATCCCTCTTCAGTACCAAGTTCAGTATCTGACTGGATGTGTGAGTAAAGAGAAGTCAATAAAAACCACAAGGTTTCCAGGTCAACTAACTGGGGATCCACTTCCTACATTAAGGACCTTCTTCCAATTTCCACTTCCCTCAGCTCACCACTATCTGGCTTTTACTCCCAGTAGTATTATAAAAGTATTCTGGTAAAAGACACCAGTGACCAAATAACCTTTCATATTCATAGTTATATAAATAAATATATTTATATTTATAAAGCACTTTATATGGCTTCCCATTAGCTCCTTACACCTTAGGTCATGGCCCTCTTCTGGAAACCCTTCCCTTGGTTTTTCTGACATCCTACTGTGCTGGTTCTCTGAGCACTGACCTTGTCTTTCTTTCCTTCACAGGCTTCCCCTCTGCTGCCTGCCCTTAAATACTAAATGGCCTCCATTCTGTTCTTTGCCTTGTTATAATCCCATGTGATCTTAATACTCTCATCCAATCTTTTGTTTTTTTTTAACAGCTGTTGATAAATTAGCAAATTGTAAAACCATTACTCCAGCCAAAGAAAGACCAGCATCCCAAAGGCCAGGCCTACATGCTGAATTGCTTAAACATCTTCCTTTGGTCAGACCAGAAGCATCTCATACCAACATGTTAAAACTGAACTCATATTTGTAAAAAAAAAACTCTTATAACTACTTTTCTTGTCTTATTAATGATCGCCACTAAACTTCTGAAATCAGAGCATAGGACTTGTGCTCAACTCTTATTTCTCCTTCATTTTCTTAGCCATGACTTCCTCAACCCCTAAATATTTAATGAATTCACCATCTCTTCTCCCATGTCATTTTTCCTGCCTTATTTTATGGTACCATCAATAATCTCCCCAAAATGCAAATTCTGATTATGGTAACTCCCTGCTGAAAATCCTTTAATAGCTACCTTCTGTTGACAGAAAAATTCAAATTCTTTTTTTATGGCACTTAAGACTTTATCATTTGCTGATAGCCTAATTCTCCAACATCAGCTTCCAGCTTTTTCCTTGATAATTCATACCCTGTGCTACACCCATACAAGGCTATTTGTTGCCATTTCTTTGCCATTATTGCCTTATCTCCTGACACTCTAGGATACAGTCATTTCAAGATCCAATTCATACATGTGAAAGCCTTTGCTGACCAAAACAATTCCTCATTCCACTCCAACCCTGCCCACCTATCCAAAATAATCTTTCCTCATGCCCACTGTACCTTATACAAACCTCTAATATAACACTCCAATGGTAGAACACATATTTACCCTTCCATATTTCTTCTTCTGACACAGATTGTTAGCAACTATATATTAACAAGTCACTCATTCAACAGATATTCACTACATCAGGTCCTAACAAAGGGCTCTGGGACACATCAGTGAAGAAAACAGTCTATACCTTAACAGATACTTAAATCTCAGTGCCCAAAACAGTGCAAATAAGATGGCAATCAGAAAGACTACATCTCAAAAGCTGTGCTCTTTGTAGGAAAAACTCTTGACTCTTTTCTTGGAAGACAAGTGTAGGCAAGGAAGGAGAGTGTGGAGGGACTTTCTCTTCAAAGATATCAAAGCCAACTGTGTGTGTGTGTCTATCACTGGGAATGAAACCAGGACCTCAAGTACTAGCCAAGTGCTCTGCCACTAAGCTACATCAAACCATGGCTGCATCTTTTCAGACAGGAGCCACTGAAAATGTTACTGAAGCTCAACTACAAAACTGAGATACAGCTTAAGAGAAATCTTACAAAATTGATGTCAATCCCCTCCATTTCCAGGTAAGGAGGAAAAAAAAAAAAAGGCACCACAAGTAACTTTCAGTTACTGGTAGCATCAAGACCAGAAGCAAACTGAGTGCAGTGGCTCATACCCAAAATCCCAGCTCTGTGGGAATCAGAGATCAGAAGGATCAGGGGTTCAAGGCCAGTCTAGATAAAAAGTTAGTGCAACAACACTTTGACAAAAAAAAAAAAAGAAAAAGGTCAGAGCAGGGCACCAGCTACTCATGCCTCTAATCGTAGCTATTGGGAGAATAGTGGTTTGAAGCCAATGGGGCAAATACTTCACGAGACCCTGTCTCCAAAATGACAGCAAAAGGACTGGAGGTATGGCTCAAGTGGTAAAGCACCTGCTTTGCAAGTACAGAGCCCTGAGTTCAAACCCTAGTCACACCAAAAGAAAAAAAGACCAGAAATAGTAACCCGCAATCTCTGTCCCCTGCTCTACCTTTAAGCCATATCCTCCTTCAATAAAAACACATGAGTTTCTCTTAAAGATAAAATGAGCCTTCATTTTCAGAATGTGGGAAATTTCAAATTATACATATATAACTCATTCAATTCATATATACTTCATATTAAATATTATTAACATTACGATACAGTATATATAATACTACAAGGATACAGCTCAGTCATGCACAGGTTCTGGGCTCAATCCCTGATACAAAAATCCCACTCTATAGCTGGAGGTAGAGCTCAAGTGGTACAGCACCTCCTAGCAAGCTGAGGCCCTGAGTTCAAACCCCAGTACTGAAAAAAAAAAAAAAAAAAGACACAGGAAAAGAAAATATAAAT